TTGCTTTGAATGTTTAATTATGTTTATGAATATTGTTGCTTTAATTTTTTGCCTAAAACACGCACTGCTTTCCTTTTCAATGAAGTTGTAAGTTTCTTAAATTGCTATATTTAATTTAAGAAAAAAATGTTAAATGTACTAAGGAGAGGAAATTAATTTGAAGACCGAACTGAAATTACTCAACAATTTGAACTCATTTTGTTGTATTGAGTAAAAACAGTTTATCGGCAAAAGCAGTTCTAACAGTTGAATGAACATTACAAAACATTTTACGAAGCGAATTTATGTTAAATATTACATTAAGTCAAAGCTCACAAAATGTAAATCTATATTCAGTGATAATTTATATGTCATTGTATACCTGACCGTTGAGAAGGCAACCGTCATTATAAATAACGTTTTCCAGGCCTTGCCCTCACAAAAACCAAGGTGTTTGCCTGTAATAACTGTAGTATATTTAGTACTGTCCACACCAAAAGCAATCTATAAATAAACTTGACATGCATGTCATTAAAATTGTTAAGGCGCTTAGCAAAACACGTGTGCAGTCTTGTTTAAAGGTGCGTGTTAGGCGCGCGCGCTCGATTAAATTTTTCTGGTTTACCTATAAATAACCGTACTGTATTTTGGTTAATATTCATGGTTAGATTTCCTGGTCATTTTGATAGGACTTCCCGATAAAATTAACCGGACTATGTTTGGTGGATAAACACCCAGGGGCCCCTGTTTACATGATTGCATATTAATTTATCTTGGTTATCTCAACCAAGACGTCCTGGTCAAATATAATCATATCCCTGTTACATTAACCAAAATGTGGTAGGAAGTGCAATACAATAACCAGGAAATGAAACCAGGAATATATTAACCCAGAAAGTGCTATTTCTAGGTCAACCAGGAAATTTTAACCCGAGTGTTTTTAGAATGCATATGTTATATCAAGGTTCCTGGTAATATACATATATTTATCTTTGTTGTTTTAACCTGTTACATTTTCCTACAGGTTTTAAAGTTGTACGCCTGGGAAAAGTCATTCATTGAGAAAGTGTTGGGTATCCGTAAACTTGAACTGCGTCAACTCAAACTTTCGAAGTTCGTCTGGTCTGCACTTTCATTCACGTACCTCTGTGCGCCATTTGCTGTAAGTTAAGGTGTAGTGTAATGTAATTTAGCAGCTGTGGTCACCAATGTAACCGATGTGGTCACCAATGCAATGTCAAGGAAAGAGAAAAACATTTTCCACCTCTTCATGGGACTTTCTTTGTATCTGTCTTTGTAGTTGCATGCATTTGACTTTTTCATTCGTGAACAATCACTAATTCTCTTCGTTCCTTCTTTCTCTTCTCTTTCTCTATTTTCTTTGTTATTATTTTAACCTTTTCTTTCTGCTGGCTTCAAGCATTTTCTGGGAAACCAATGGTCCCATGATTTTCTGTTGCTTCTCACCCACCTGCTAAATTATTACCAGTTATTTGTAGGTGACTTTCATACAGGGATTACATCGAATGCGAGTTCAAATTAGTTCAAGGTTGAACCATTAAAAAGTAGACTTTCTTTTTCATTAGGTCTCAGTGGTCACATTTGCCACCTATGTTTTACTGGGTAATACCCTGACAGCTTCCAAAGCATTCGTAGCACTGGCACTGTTCAATATTCTACGTTTTCCTTTGACTGCCTTACCATGGATGCTCATGAATATTATACAGGTACGACAACAAGCTGACGTTTTGTGCCCACCGGGGGCCGGTTGTTCAAAAGCCGATTAGCTTAACCCTGGTTTAACCTAAAATTCAAAGCAAACGTCCTGACAACTTGTTTATGAATTTGGAAATATTTCTTCAAAGATTTTGTCTGGATCGATAGAAATTTTCTTCTCTCAAGTTTTGAAATAAATAGACGTGCAGAAATGCACAAACTAAAACAGCAGGTTAAATTTTATCCGAGGGTTAGCGCTAACCCAACTTTGAACGACCGGCCCCGGGTAAATACCTCGCTCCACGAGCATGGGCCTGGGGACGAGAATGTCCAAGGCAATACGGCGGTTCTGCCTCCTACCATGGATAATAAAATAAATGGATAGGACTCTAGCTGACGTCACAGTCTAAACCTAGTTGCAATCTGTGACGTCACGCGTATTGCCAAAGTTCTCGGCATTTTTGTTGTTTCGCTATATTTCCGCTTTAAAAGAGTAATATTGAAGCATAAACTGGTCTAATTGTTTTAAAAACATGCCTATAAGCCACGACAAAGTATTCAAGGTAAATGTTTTTCGTCTTTGTTTCGTATTTTTTTTACATTTGTAGCTACGAAGTTTAGCTGTATTATTGCTAAATATGCCGTTTTTGAGAATTTGGTTTGCAACTAGGTTTCAACATCCAACCATGGATAATAAAATAAATGGATTGGAAACTTCTGACGTCATTGACTGCATCCTTGTTGAAAAACGTGACGTCACGCGTATTGCGAATGTTACCAAAGTTCTCGGCATATTTGTTGTTTTGCTATATTTTCCACTTTAAAAGGGTGATCTTGAAGCGTAAACTGGTCTAATTGTTTTAAAAACATGCCTAAGCCACGACAAAGTATTCAAGGTAAATGTTTTTCGTCTTTGTTTTGTATTTTTTTACATTTGTAGCTACGAAATTGGCGTCACAAATTTTAACGAAATTTGCGATGTATTTTTTACTGTTTAGTGCTTGAAATATTTGCTAAAATTGACTGGGAATACTTAGAGTTTTCATCGTAGAATGGCATGGTTATATTTATTGACTAAAATACTTAGCTGTATTATTGCTAAACATGCCGTTTTTGAGAATTTGATTTTCAACCAGGTTGAGGCATCCAACCACGCCATCAATCACAGTAAAAACATTAGGTCACGTCAGCTAGTTTCCTATCCATTTATTTTATTATCCATGATCCAACCACGCCATCATCCCATTGAAAACATTAGGTCACGTCAGCTAGAGTCCTATCCATTTATTTTATTATCCATGCATGCTCTTACATAGGTCCTGCTGCAGCTTGGGAAGGTCACACACAAATTATGCAGGGACTGCGGAATCTTGCAAATAATTAGTCATTATTTTACCAATTAAATATGCAGTAATGATTTCTAGTATTTAAGTAGCGATAGTTTCAACTAATCGCAAATACAACTTTCGGCAAAATCGTATCTGATTGATCCGTTATATTTTTCCTTAGCAACGCGTAGCAATCATGAAAATTCACTTTTCGTTGGTCTTTTACGACCTTTTATAAATTTATGGAGGAGAGTGCCACAGTGAATTAATTTCTCTGTAGACCACTTGCATAAAGACGGATTTAAATATTATTTCATGTGGAACATGATAAGCCTTCTTGGTCTCGCTTGTGTGACTGATATTGAATATAAATTTAGAGGATGTGAGCATAAAAGAATTAGAGCATAAAATATGCGCATTAAATCTGTCTCAATTATGAAAATGGTCCATTTGATTTTTAGGATATGATGAAAACTAGATGCACGTAATAAAAACTAACTTTTCATTTGCTGCGCATGCGCAAATATAGGCAAATAATAAGGAATGCAGTGATAACTTCTAGAGTGAAAAATTTGATCAATTAAGATGATGTTTTTACTATAAAGATATTAATTTTCTTTTTATAATGACATAATATTTAAAAGTCGACCTATACTGAGTTGATATTATTTTGCAGGCTATGGTTTCAGCAAAACGTATAGAAACATTTCTGTCCTTGCCCGAATTGGACAGCGAAAATGTGAAGAAAAGATCTGAGACTGGTGAGTTACCTTTGCTCACTTTAATTTCTCAATTCGAATGCATGCATGCTGCAATTGCGTATTTTAAATCCAATAGTTTTAATCTAATCAAGTTTTGCTGCATACAAAAAATAAATACTAGATAAATAGTAATATGCAGAAGAAACAATACAAGGAAACTAAAAGTAATTCCACAAAAAAATGATCAAAAGGATCATGCAAAAAAGGGATTAATAAAATAAACCAAATGTTATTATACGCATCCCAAGAGACACAATTAAGATCGATCAGGATCATAAAATACGGTTTTATAGTACTGTTGTTTTTTTTATAACGCTAGCGCGGAAAGTTCTAATGTTTTCAGGTAGGTCGTTCCATAAATAAACTATTCGGTTAAAAAAGTTTATAACTTATAATATGGATACTGGGGTATGTTGAGTTTTGATGTACTAAGCTTGCTGCCGTATCTTAGCCCGTGACGTGGCTATAAACTAACATTTTCAATGCACTTAATAAATCTTCTTCAAAGCAAATCTTTAAAACCAAACTTCAAGAAACATATCAGAAGATGGTCTGATATCACGTGACAAGTTTTAGAAGAGACGAACACGTTATCATCCAACATGGTAGCCCCAAACAAACTATATTACAGTACTTTGAAAAGTTACCATCCTTCCTGAAACCAGGCATGAACATTATGAAACCGTTAATTTTCCAGAGGTTTTATTCATAAAATATTGGGTTTGGAGAGGATTAAGATAACAATTATAGGTTTGTCTCACAGGGGTCGTGCATGTCCCTTGAATTCCTTGAGAAGTGCTTTTTCAATACAAAATATGTTAAAAGACCTTGAATGTATCCATGTAATGCACATATATATGGGCCACTAAAAAGGGTGAATTTCCCTAGTGTAAAGGGAATCCCAAATAACAATCTTTAATTCTCTAATTAAGGGTTCTCTAATGTGAGTGTTTTGTTTACAAATACATGCACGAGCTGACTGCACAATGAACGAGAAATTTTCAATACTGAACGAGGCGAAGCCGAGTGCAGTATTGAAAATTTCGAGTTCATTGTACAGTCAGCAAGTGCATGTATTTGTAAACAAAACACGAACTTAAAGTCTCTAACCCATTTAATATATTATCTGAGTTCACTGCTTGCATGCAATTACTGTACGCCTTTTGTAAACAAAACAAAACAAAACAAAACAAAACAAAATTAAATTAAATTAAATTAAATTAAATTAAAACAAAGCAATTCCAGTTTGGAAAACATTTACTAACACATTTTTATCATAAGTTTTTACCAATAGTCTAATTTTAAGTACATTGCAAAATAATTGCGTACAACTGTTTTTAAAACAAGACAGCGAATACAATGAAAAACCCGACTAGACTTAAAAATAATTGTTTTTGTTTGTGGAAACACCACGTAAATTTATTACTGCAAAGCTTTCGATCCGTAAGCCCGGATCTTCATTCAAAGAACTTATTACCGACTAGACTTTTTAAGCAGGAATTGTACACGCGACAAAATCGTGAAAAGTCAGTTTTTGCTTCGTTTATTTACCTTGTTGCACCAGTTTGTTTGGCTTTTTATACTTTTAGACATTGCATTATCTACAATTTGATTAATTTCGTCTTCACTGACTCGTGTAAACCTTGAAATAATGCACGTTTTTTATGCGTTATTGTCAATAATGCACTCGCCGAATTCGTTGTTGCCAGGTAACAAAAACACACGTGATCGATTTTGACCAATGGCGTGCGTGTATTTTGTACAGTGAACGAAGATTATATATTAAAAGTGAATAAACCATACTGTGCCAAATAGTCTCTCAAGGTTCGGTCACACGAGGTAACAAGTTGCAGGGACTGGTCGCAGGGACGAATTTCATCGTGTGACATATGTACAAATATTGTCGCGTGGATTGATTTTTGCATGAATTGTCATGCATGAAGTAGTCATGTTGCCATGCAGAAGTCTAAGAGTTTTAGGAATCGAAAGGTCTAGAAAGGACTTCAGCGTTAAGCAAATTGTTTTGTACTTTGATAATTCACCGAGCACGTTTCTAAATAATGCATATCATGGTTGGCAGAAACAGCCATTTTTTCCTCGGGAATTTAATATACTCAGAAATTTTATTGTTAATGATACCCTCAAGTCTTAACTGTCAATATCTGTTGAAAGTTTTAGTATCATTACCTATTTTCTTCAGTTCATTCGAAAACTGTCTTCCATTCGAAAATTGTCTTCTTTTTGTGATAATTGTTTTCTTCCATACTTCAGATGAAGTTATCAGTATAGATGATGGTACCTTCTCGTGGGCAGAAAACCAACCAGCCATTCTCAAGAAGTGAGTATTAGTATTATTTAAGATAGAGTTTGGAATTAGCTCCTCGAGTGGGATGATGCTTTGTAGAGCTGCTCCGATTAAATTTGTCGACGACCAATGGACATTTGACGATTAATGAGCACTAGTAGTATCAGAGAAATAAAAAAGAATTCATTTGATCACATCGACAATACCATCTCGTAATTGTTTTCAAACGGGAAAGAAGTTATTCAAGTATCATGCTATATCATACACGGCTGTTTTGTTGATAGGCAAAAACAAAAAAATAATCGATCTTCGAGAGCAGCTCTAATACTTTACAATTTAACTATATAGCATTAAGCAATTCAACTACATTCATATTTGATAATATTTTATTTAGTATCAACTTTCGTATAAAAAAGGGTTCTTTGGTTGCTGTTGTTGGTCAAGTTGGTTGTGGAAAGTCTTCCTTACTTTCCGCATTGCTGGGAGAAATGGAAAAATCAAGCGGGCAGGTCGTAAAAAATGTACGTATAGATCTTATATGAACTATAGTAATAGAACACGTCATGCAATTATCGTGTGTCCATACAATTCTCGAAACACGCGAGAAAAAATGAGATTTCAGTATAACTTGGTCAATTTTAAAACACGCGATTTTCTTACCCCTGCGGATTGAAAAGATGTAATATTGTTTTGGCGAAAAAATACGTATCATGAAAGATGATAAACAAAGATCGGCAATGGGTTCGACTTGACAAAAATGTAAGCACAAAAGTTAATTTTAAATAAATAACTAAAGAATGAGAGGAATGCATGAAGTGTTTGAACGTCCATTCGCCCACGTTTCGACCATAACCATTTAAGCAACTCACTTTTTTCGGAACAGTGCCGACACTTGTCGCCGCCCACCCCAATAATTTCTGAAATCCCTTGAATGATATAGCTGAGTAACTGTGTAACAAAGCTGTAACAATATTTTTTCAACCATGAAAGCACTGGTAGGCCATATATTGCATGACATTTACGGCATACAAAAAGTGGTCATATGATGGCAACCTAATTCGCTCCCTTCTCCCCCTTCAATATTTCGCGACATTTTTGCCACTGTTTCGGAATTTGCCAGCCACCTGAAGATTCCTTCATTGGATGTAGTGGTAACCTTTTGGTGAGTGAAAGCCATATTTACGCTATCTTTATGATATCGAGCACTCGTTATCATTTAAACTCACGCATGCTCTAATATTCTTTGTATATTATTCCATTCCTGCAGGGATCAACAGCGTATGTTCCTCAGCAAGCTTGGATTCAAAATGACACAGTGAGAGAAAATATTCTCTTTGGGAAATGTTATGATCCTAAACGTTACCACAAAGTAATTGATAGCTGTGCATTGACACCAGATCTTGAAGTTCTTGCTGGAGGAGATAAAACACAGATCGGAGAGAGGGTAAGACACTGGTAAAATTATAATTAGAGAGCTTAAGCAAGCCACGTTTTGACAACACGTACGCCAACCGGAAGTCAATGGAGCTGTTATAGATGGCGAGTGGTGGAGATAGCCGTTCTTATTTGAAACTACAAACGTAAAACACAGCTGAAACGGCAACCTGAAGGGAAGAAGTGAGGCAAACAAAAATGCCAACGCCACCTGACACCACTGCTTATGCATGCTGCGTACCCCACAGTTGCTAACGCCGTCGAATGTCATCAGTCATCACCAGCTCGCAGAGTAGATATGATACAAAGGTTCGACTCAACCAAAAAACCCGTAACCGCTGCCACGTAATGATTCGCCATCGAAATGCACTCGCCATGGTCGTAGCCAGTGCGTTTACGAGAGGCATTAGAGAGGTTTAGCAAAGACGACGCGACGTCAAAGACGACGTGAAAATGGCGTAAAATTGGCGTGATATGCCCATCTATAGATCTGCCCATCTATAGATCTGCCCACGCCATTTTTACGCCTTTTTACGTCGTCTTTGACGTCGCGTCGTCTTTGCTAAACCTCTGTATTAACCCTGAACGTCCACCATTTTGAATGTTTTAGGGGGTTATGGCATCTTCTTAGCGCACTGGCTAGGACCATGGCGAGGACCATGACCATCAAAATTTAGGCTGATAGCGAGATTACCGCGTATCTACGTGGTGCAGCCTGGCTGAAAAAAGTACCAAGTCGTAATATTATTGGCGTACTTCTGGTGCATAAGTACGCGGTTTATCCCAGCCTGAATTAGCCAAATAGAATCTATTTGCAATAAAATAAATGCTATTAATTATGCGTGCATTGCATATGGCTACCGTGGCGAATCATGCTGATATTCTCGAATAAAAACATCCACATGTATGTAAAAAGTCAGTCAACGCTCTGCCGAATGTTGTGCATTTTCTGTAGGTACCCTGGTTTTCTCCTATAACAATAGGAATGTTGGCAGTGTGGCCGGGTTAGGATATACTGTATATAGGATTAGATCCAGTTGAAATACATAGCGTGATTAAAGAATTAGTGCCAGGGTCATGCATTGCGGGCTTTTGTTATTGTTTACATTTTACTTAAATACAACAAATAGCGATAAAAATACCTTGTTTGGTGCATTTCTGATAAAAAATTACACAAAAAGAGCAAGGATTAGAAAAGGATGGTTTAAATATATGACGTATTGTAAAAACTTTCCAGATCATCTAATCTATTCGTCCCGAAAAATGGCCGCTAGCAGGAGTTTGAGCCATCGAATTCCTGGTGTGACACTAATCCTTTAAATGAATGCCATGATTACTATACAACATAAATCTTAAAACATACTTTGAAAGCACACAGCAGTCATGGTTTTATCCATGCATTGTTTTAGGGTGTAAATCTGAGTGGTGGTCAAAAACAGCGTATCAACCTAGCAAGAGCTGTGTATTTCAATGCAGACATTTATTTACTTGATGATCCTCTCAGTGCAGTGGATGCTCATGTTGGTAAACATATCTTTGATCATGTCATTGGACCTCAAGGTTGCCTTAAAAAGAAAGTAAGTCTTAGTTATAATTCTTTAACTACCCACGATTGACGAAGAATAATAATGACTTGCTCAAATGGTAGAGAGCCGGTTGTATCAACATTCCTAATAATGGCTAAAGGCTAAAAGCTATGAACCTATACAGGTATGGACCTCGCAATAAACAAACTCTTTAATTTATAATTACTAAATTTTCTGCAACTGTCTCCCACAGTGACACATAATAAAAAAGCGGTCAAGCTGATCAGACCTTAGAAGAGATATTTTTCCCAAAGTTCAAAGCAGTGCAACCATAACAACGAAACTAATTTAATAACAAAAATCGCTCCAAGCCGTGTGAACGGATTTTCTGATTGGTCGAGTATGACAAAGATTCACAGTTCCCTGTGGAATTCAATTCAGTACTTTTTAGGTTATCATTCAGACAAACACAAATTCCATGACAATTTCATCGAAATAAAAATCATTTTGGCACGAAAATCCCAGCAGTATGTCTGATATGGAATTAAAGCATTGCGATTTAATCGACTTCTCAAAAATGTGTGCGCCTGAATACAACATGCCTGAGTTTAGTGATTGAGTTTTGGTGTTCGATGTTATGCGAGACAACTGGGAAACTTGCCGTCTTGTACAAAGTTCTGTTGCTACTGAGCTTGATGTAACATACTCTGGCAACTCAATTGAGACCTCTGGCAGCAAAAGAAGTCTGGAGATAGCCGATGAAGGGCCAGGACAGAAACGAAGAAAGGAAATCGACCCAAACAACGAAATTAAGGTTGGATTGTTAGTAACAGATTCCGGAAGCGAAACAGAACCAACCTGCGAACAGACCAATGCTGATTGCGAGATTGAGATTGGAAGCGTAATGGAAAATAAAAGTCACGAACCAGCCTGCGAACAGGCAGAAAATAAGCAACTTGACATGCCTTCAACCTCACCACTACATCCTTCTACAGAAGGCGTGCCTGAAAAAGCCGTAAATCTTGTTTCTAACGGAATACAGGAAAATTTGAATGAATCACTACGACAGCACCAGATTTATGTGCACGGCCTATGGCTTGCCGTTCAAAGTCCATATTTTCGATCACTTTTACACTCAAGTGGCATGAAGGAAACACATGATACAGAAGTTCACCTCAAAATCCCAGAATCAGAAGAAAATGCACATCTCGTCCTCCTGGAGGCCGTGTACCGCAGCAATGTGTTGGATGACAAATCAGTGGACGAACTGCTCGCAGTCTTAGAGTTGGCCGACAAATACGACGTAAAGTTTGTTTTTAAAAAATGCAAATATGTTCTCCAACAGAATGCCACTACGTTCGAAATCAGCACAAAAATAATGCGCGTGATAAAAGTGAAACATAACATGAACGATGTTGAAGATTTGGCAGCAACTTTACAGTTGGTTCTTGCCCAGGAGTTTAGCCCTTTAGATGAAAACTGGCAATCTGAGAAATTTACCAGTCTGTCTGAACCGTCTGTGAAGTATTTACTAAGCAGTGATGAAGTGATTGTCCAATCAGAGAACACCGTATTTCATGCTTTGATGCATTGGATGGAGCAAAATGATGTCGATCCCGCAGGTTCGGAAGAGACGAATGATCTGCTAGCTGTTGTACGATTCAAGTTAATTACGGTTGACTATCTTTATAATGTTATCAAGAACCATCCAATTGCCTTGAAGATGCCAAAGTTTAACGAGCTTTACCTCGGCGGTATGACCTACCATGCAATTCCTGAAGAACAAAAGAAGTTGTTGGAAGAACAGCCTGTATTAAGAAAGAAACCCAAAAGAGACATTATTCAGTACACGTTTGTTGCTAAGAAATATGGGTTAAATTCAGATAAGTTTTGGGCATGTGGCTACAAAATGAATGTAGATCTTGTGTATCATTGTAAGAAAACGTCAGGTTCTAGATTTAGTGAAACCTATCATCCATGCTTGAGTATTCATAATTTGAATAAGGAAAGCTCAGTTCCCCTTAACTTTACAATTACGAGAAGTGAATCCATCAGTAATAATAGCTTGCAGGAAGAAACGTTTAATTTAAATTCATGCAAAAAGGAATGTCTCAGTGCGTCAATTCCAACGTCATATTTCAATAATGATGATACTACACGCAAGTTCATTGTAATAGTAGAACCATTGTAATTTAATTTCTACCAACAAAACCCGCTTTAAAACCTATTAATCATTAATTACACGCTGAAAGACAGACAACATGTAAACTAATCATTTTCTGTTTCTAGTAACATAGCCAGCGGAGCTTCACGTGGTGAAGCTATAGAAATACGGTTTAATATACGGCCAGCCAACTGTACTATGTTGACTGGCCGTATTTCTATCTTCACCCTGTTAAGGCGGTTTTCCAGTCCTCGCACGAAGCTCCTCGCAGCTCGCTGCGAGTGCTTGCGTCTAATTAAAATGAACTGTTTAGCATTGTGATTGGATGAAAGTGCTCATGCATCACTCGCAGCGAGCTGCGAGGAGCTTCGTGCGAGGACTGGAAATCCGTCTTACGTTCTGTCCCCAAATACTAGTACTGTAGTAACAATAAATATTTGATATTTGAGTTAAGCTTCTTTTTCACCAGGTAAATTTGTTCACACGAAGCGAAGTTTATTGGTTAACATAACTATAATTGATTAGCGGGAAAAGAAGTTTCACGCGGCGAAATTTGTTTTTCGCTTCGCGCGAATAAATTTACGTAGTGGAGAGTCGGCTTAATTAAAGCTACGTTCGCACGCTGCGATTTGTCTTGGGCCGATTTCAGATACACGAAAAATACGTGGCAAACGCCATCTGGCAATAGAAATATTCACATAATTTCACATGTGAAATTTTATGTGGAATTGGAACGTTTTACAAATTAAAATGCTCATTTTATATGTGAAATTTTGAATGAAATTTTAATTTCACATATTTTGTGAAAATTAATGTGGAATTGAAACACTCCCAAAGGGGCGACCTAACCAACTGGAAATATTTGTACATATTTAAGACCTAACTATACCTAGAAGGAGTTGAGAAAGCCCTCCGATAGGATCTAACCTTCAGCCTTGCGATTCCAGTGCAGTGAGATACAGTTGTCAAGAGCTAACCACAACCGTTCATGTTTATATACTACGGTGATGTATTTGATATTAGTTTTTTCCTGCAAATTTACAAAAACTCTCAAACGTTCCATTGTCGAGCGAAAAGCCCAATATTTAGAATAATTATATCCTTATACCATGCACTGGCATCTCAGTAGTTTGTATAAGTAGTAGGGAAAGGCCGATTCTGGCACATTTTGAAAACAGACCCCCCTCCCGCGCATGCGTCAACTACCACCCAACGCTTCACCTTACGTCCATGCTCCAACTGCCACCTAACACACCCGCCACACCCGATTCCTTGTCTGCGTTCCCAAACCCTTCTACCCGCCTCAAATCTCACCCGGTTCCCAAACACCACCCGAAGCCTTGTCTACACTCCCAAACCCTTGTGTCCGATCGTCATGGTGTTTATTCCGTCCGCCATTATTATTCTTTTGTCGTCGTCTGCCGACAGGGCTACCTTAACGACTCTTTCTGTGTAGATCTCATGTAGCCATCTTCTAAAGGTGTTCATTCCCCTCCACTGCTTTTTCTCGCTGAACAGACACTTTTTATAGTCGTCGAAGGTAATTTCCTTTTTGACCACCCCCTTTTTGACACCCTTACATTTCTTTTCCTCGCTTAGGTCATCTGCCATTTTGTAGGAATACAGCTTAGATCTTAGTCCGACAAATTCCGCAATTTGTCTCCCGCCGGCCTCATCCTTCATCATGCCAATGACCTTCTTGTTAATCCCAATGGGAATACCGGACGGATGGTTCTTATCAAAATTACTGGTATCGAACTTATTAAGAACGTCATTCGCGATGTTCTTGTAGAAATCTTGGGTCTTGATCTCATAACACAGCGAATCCGTGTCGGTGAACAATAGGCTGGATTCTTCCCATACTTTTCCTTGACGTAGTTGTAATGGAAGTCGTATATGAGGATTTTGCTAAGATCCAATGCGCTCATGCCTAAGTATATTGGCTTAACAAGTTTTATAACCGTCCTCCTCATGTGTACAGCATGTGTACTTCCACTAGATCCTTTGAGAATATGGTTACCGACTTAAGTGGCAGTCCCGCTAACAGCGGTCCGGTGACTTCGACTTCGGAAAATAGATTTCCTTCAATTTTTGTGTGTTGAAAGGCATTGGTATACAAGTGTCCAAAATAAATTTATATTTTGAAAATTATTTTTTGCATCTTCGCTAGACGCCGAAACTCATTTTACCCGTGCAGAGCTATTTTCAAGCAAATTCGAAGGTTGAATTTCGGTAAATTTTAGAGTCGCGCTGAGTCAAAACGCCTGACTGTTTCCAAGTTTCAACTAGATCAACAAGTTAAGACACAATTCACGTTCCCTGTGGCAGAAATAAGAGCATTTGAATAAATCGTGAATAAACGACAGCAACTTGACGGTTTTTGCTTCTTGTTCGGCCTACAAAATTACACTAAAATCGAAGCCTGAGATCTCCTAAAGGGGACCTAAAAATACGCAGAAAAACTCTTGACTGTAATGATTTATACTTATTTTCACAAGATCTGAAGAAAAACTTGCGGGTATCAATCTGTAATTCGAGCGAGCAAAGATTTTCTGGAGCCCATGATCACTGATTTTTGCATAATTTATAGCTAATTAACATCTTTCTTGAGAGGCGCTAAAAGTAAACATTTCTTTCTGACTATACATTTTTCAAATGAAAGAAACTACCACAGCTAGTAAAATCCTTTTTGTAAATATAGTCGTAATGTTCTTTTCTTGACATAGGCCGTGGGCTGTTGTGCGAAAAAGTGCCTTGAAAAGCAATTTCGTGGCGCCCTCCTGGGAAATAGATTTTCTGTCGTTCAATTCATAGAACCATAGATGCTTAATTACCACAAAAAGTTCCCAAGCAAAAAACTTGCCCAACACCGAGAAAATGGGTGATCAGTGATTATCCTCTATTAAATTGTATTGCAGCAAGAAAATGTAAAATTTTGTATTCAATTACAACAAAAATGACTTGCATTTTCAGAATGCTTACAAAGGCCTACATATACGACATTTAAACAGTTTTTTTATATCTAAAATTGTTTTCGAGTTATACGCTGTCAAAAACGCGTTTTTGACCTAGTACCCAGTCCTTCAGTGCCTTTTTTAACTATAT